GGCCGGCCAAGCGGCGTGAGTGTGGTGCGGTCTCGAAAGAAGGAGCGAGAAGCCCCCGAGTCAAGGGTGAAGGTGTGGGAGGCCGAAGCCGACGCAGAACCTGAGAGAGCAGACTCACCAGCACCTGAGGGAGCAGACGCACCTAGAGCAGCAGCCTCGCTAGCACCTAGAGCAGCAGCCTCACCAGTACCTAGAGCAGCAGTCTCAATGCCCGGGTCGGGCGGAAAACACCGGTAACAGTCACCCTCATCACTAATAGTCACAGTATACATGGCAGCAAGAATAGCATCAAAGTCAAGGTCAAAGACAGCTACACCCGCCCTAGACAGCTCACCCCAGCGGGGGATCTCAGTGGCCTCAGGGAACTGGTGACGCCAAGCGTCCGTCAGGCGGCCAAAGCAGCGCTGGGTGGAGTGCGCACCCCCGCACTGGTCACCCGCGCGGTCGCCGGTGCGGAGGGCGTAGGTGCACGAACCAGTACCCCCACCCCTCTGGCGTGCATTGTACCACTCACGGAGCTGCTGAGGGGAGGGGATGTCACGAGTGCGCTGCTGCTGCTGCTGCTGCTGCTGCTGGCGCTGACCACCACCGGAGCCGACCCTCTGCGCAGCGCCACCCCGACCAGCTCCACCTCCTCCGCCGCCTCCTCCTCCACCGCCGCCACCTCCGCTCCCACCGCCACCGCCGCCTCCGCCTCCGCCTCCACTGCCGCCACCGACACCTCCACCCCCGCCACCACCCCCACCGCCACCCCCACCCCCTCCACCGCCTTCACCTCCGCCTCCACCGCCCCCGCTAGCTCCTCCAGTGCCCCTGCCCCCCTTGCCCTTGCCAGGGCGACGTCTCCCGCTAGGGGTAGACGCCGCACCGACCGACTCAAGCCCAACGAGGTCGGCCGCAGCAGCAGAGGCAACAGAGGGCAAAAGGGGGGAGGGGGAACACCCCTCAAAGATGGGGGTGCGAGGGTCACCACGAGAGGCTCCTACAGCGACTATGCTCTTCTCTGCTGCTAGGAGGGACTTCTCGAGGAGGTCAACGGTGAGAGTGGTGGGGCAAACTGAGAGGAAGTGGTCCCTGACTACGCGAAGGGAGTCAGGGAGCCAGGTGACTATGTAGTAGAGGGTGATGTACATGGGGGGGGGGGTTCTTGGCGCAGAACTCAGCAGGAAGCGCAGCGCGGTAGCGAGTGTCACTAGTGCGGAGGTGCGTAATGAGGTCAGCGACTGTGGGAAAGGCAGCAAGGTCAGGGAAGAGGTACGGTAGCATGAGGCGGCTCAGTGCAGCAGTGGCAGGGGAGGAGTAGCGCGCAACTACAGCGTCGTACAAGGTCTGAGCACTCTTGTACTGGCTAAAGTGCGCACGCTCAGAGGTAGGCAGGTGGCGACGCACAGCAAGACGTGCAGCAACATCGCGCGTGGCCCACTGTGAGCGAACAGTGGCGTCAGCATCAGCAGCGGGGGCAGGAGAGGCACCAGAAGTGAGGTCAAAGAGGGAGAGGCCGTCTGCCCTGTCGCACTGTAAGAAAAGCTGCAGGTCATCTATCCAGACATCAAAGTCAATGGCCCGACCCTCAGCGTCAAAAGCGAGGACACTAGGGGTAGCCATGACAGTAGTAGACTAGCAGCGCAAACAGTAGGGTGAGGGCAGTGCTGTGAAAGGGGCGCTGCTCTTACCGGACAGGGCGGCTCGGGTGGCTCGGCTGCAGGGCGGCTCGGCGGCTCGGCTGCTGGGCGGCTCGGCGGCTCGGCGGCTCGGTTGCTGGGCGGCTCGGCGGCTCGGCTGCTGGGCGGCTCGGTGGCTCGGCTGCTGGGCGGCTCGGCTGCTGGGCGGTTCGGCGGCTGGGCGGCTCGGCTGCTGGGCGGCTCGGCGGCTCGGCCGTTCGGCTGCGACTGCTGCTGCAGAGACGGCGGCGGCTGCTGCCTCAGGGACGGCAGCGGCCGGCCGCTAGGGGCCGCGTCAGGTGCAGGAGAGGGCCGCGTCAGGGGCGGCGTAGGGGCCGCGGCAGGGGCGGCGAAGGGGCCGCGTCAGGGGCCGCGTCAGGGGCCGCGGCAGGGGCCGCGGCAGGGGCCGCGTCAGGGGCCGCGTCAGGGGCCGCGGCAGGGGCCGCGGCAGGGGCCGCGTCAGGGGCCGCGTCAGGGGCCGCGTCAGGGGCCGCGTCAGGGGCCGCGTCAGGGGCCGCGTCAGGGGCGGCGTAGGGGCCGCGTCAGGGGCCGCGTCAGGGGCCTCGTCAGGGGCCGCGGCAGGGGCCGCGTCAGGGGCCGCGTCAGGGGCCTCGTCAGGGGCCGCGGCAGGGGCAGCGTCAGGGGCGGCGTAGGGGCCGCGGTAGTGGCGGCGGAGGGGCCGCGTCAGGGGCCGCGTCAGGGGCCGCCTCAGGGGCAGCATAGGGGCCGCGTAGGGGCCGCGTCAGGGGCCGCGGTGGGGCCGCGTCAGGGGCCGCGTTGGGGCCGCGTCAGGGGCCGCGTAGGGGCCACGTCAGGGGCCGCGTTGGGGCCGCGTCAGAGGCCGCGTAGGGGCCGCGTCAGGGGCGACGTAGGGGCCGGGTAGGGGCCGCGTAGGGGCCGCGTAGGGGCCGCGTAGGGGTCGCGTAGGGGCCGCTAGGGGGGGGGGGGGGGGCGCTAAAAAAAAAATTAGGGCAGGGGCGCAATGCGCGTCGGGCAGCTAAAAAAAAAATTCGTTATGGTGGGCCCTTAGGAAGGAACGGTCCCATGTAGGAACCCGCTCTATACCATGTGAATTAAGAAAACAGGAATGAAAATGACTAAGGGAAAGTTGGGTACAAATACAAACCCTAGAAAACTGTACCCCATATGTGCTACCCCACTATAGCCTACAGTAGCTCTGTCATATAAATCTGACAAAAAAGGCATTCAGACGTTGGCGCAGTGACATGTTGCGCGCAGGCCTATCCTTGCACAGATTTAGGCCAGCAAACGCACAAACATGCGCCACGAGCTGCGTCGTTGTGCTAACGAGATGAAATCAGTTCCTATGGCTAGGGAATAGGATATAGTAGAGAACTATGTGAAGAAATAGTGGTAAAAAAGGCATTCAGACGTTGGCGCAGTGACATGTTGCGCACGGGCCTATCCTTGCACAGATTCAGACCACCAAACGCACAAACATGCGCCACGAGCTGCGTAGTTGTGCTAACGAGATAAAATCAGTTCTTATGGCTAGGGAATAGGATGTAGTAGAGAATTGTGTGAAGAAATAGTGGTAAAAAAGGCATTCAGACATTGGCGCAGTGACATGTTGCGCACAGGCCTATCCTTGCACAGATTCAGGCCAGCAAACGCACAAACATGCGCCACGTGCTGCGTAGTTGTGCTAACGAGATGAAATCAGTTCCTATGGCTAGGTAATAGGATTTAGTAGAGAACTGTGTGAAGAAATAGTGGTAAAAAAGGCATTCAGACGTTGGCGCAGTGACATGTTGCGCACAGGCCTATCCTTGCACAGATTCAGACCAGTAAACGCACAAACATGCGCCACGTGCTGCGTAGTTGTGCTAACGAGATGAAATTAGCTCTTATGGCTAGGGAATAGGATGTAGTAGAGAACTGTGTGAAGAAATAGTGGTAAAAAAGGCATTCAGACGTTGGCGCAGTGACATGTTGCGCACAGGCCTATCCTTGCACAGATTCAGACCAGCAAACGCACAAACATGCGCCACGAGCTGCGTAGTTGTGCTAACGAGATGAAATCAGTTCCTATGGCTAGGGAATAGGATATAATAGAGAACTGTGTGAAGAAATAGTGGTAAAAAATGCATTCAGACGTTGGCGCAGTGATATGTTGCGCACAGGCCTATCCTTGCACAGATTCAGACCAGCAAACGCACAAACATGCGCCACGTGCTGCGTAGTTGTGCTAACGAGATGAAATCAGTTCCTATGGCTAGGGAATAGGATGTAGCAGAGAACTGTGTGAAGAAATATAGTAATAAAGGCATTCAGACGTTGGCGCAGTGACATGTTGCGCACAGGCCTATCTTTGCACAGATTCAGACCAGCAAATGCACAAACATGCGCCACGTGCTGCGTAGTTGTGCTAAAGAGATCAAACCAGTTCCTATGGCTAGGGAATAGGATGCAGCCCTGAACAGTGTGAAGAAGTAGTGGTAGAAAAGACATCCAGACGTTGGCGAGGTGACATGTTGCGCACCGGCCTATCCTTGCAGAGATTCGGGCCAGCAAACGCACAAACATGCGCTACGTGCTGCGTAGTTGTGCACCGGCCAACTCAAAAAAGGACCCCTCCCCCCCCCCCCCCCCCCCCCCAATCTCGGCAGTTCTACATTTTTTCTGATGTCTACATTATATTATATGGATGCAAGTGGAAAGTACGTCACTGCCTATTCACGAAATGACATACACAATAATGAACGTATAAACTCACTGAATGCTATCGATGTTGGAATTCAAAGGCAACAATATGCAATAGAACAATTAGAAGCATTTGTAGCTAGATATAACAACAACTTATTACAACAGTAAAAACAGAATATATACAAAGGAATCTTGTAACTGCTACCAAGGTTACTAACTATTCAGATAGATTTTTCGAGTGCAGAGCAGTGACAGGCTTCGGATTCCAAACCAGCACATCGTGATGCTGGGATTGGTTGGATGCAATATTCTACGTGCGAGTTACTTCGAACTGAAACGTGTTGGTTGCGTTTCGAACCTGTAAACTTGCGAGTTAGTAACTGCAGAGTCACCTGACATACCAACAACATACCCCCAAACCACCTCGCTCAGAAGTTAACTTTTACAAACATACTTCAGGCGCCCACCATTTTTGGGATGAATGAGGCAGCGCGGCTGAAGCTACAGCACCATCATAACCGAACTATTCTCGACAGGATGGAGATCATCGCAATGAGGCAGCGCGGCTAAACCGTTCCACTATGATAGTGTTCTCCTTCCGTTGAATCTGCAAACGCTTCTTCTTTCCGCTAATTATCCTTACCAGTTGAACTAAAGATGACCCCGCCGGTGATGGCGTCATGGAATCGAGCCGCAGTGCTCGTGCCGCCGTTCGTTATAGGCATCTTGACGGGCTTCACTTTGCTGATGCTGCAGCAGTCACTGTCGACACGCATTCCGATATCCTTCGACAGGGTAGAAACAGAAACGTTTCGGAATGAGCAGACGCCGATCGCGGGTCACGATGAAGCTTTATCCTCGTTTGAGGAGATCGTGCCGTTTCGTTATAACACGAGCTCTGTAGTTGTTGACGGAAAGCTGAACGTGCACTTGGTAGCTCACTCGCACGACGACCTCGGTTGGCTGAAAACCATTGATCAGTATTACGTGAGTACGAAATTCCAAGAATGCAGGAGATTGGAGAATGAATTTTTTGCGTTTCTCTGGCAGCACTCCTCAGCGGTCTTGAACTCGTCCACTGTCGTCGCTGCTAGCGCATTGTTCCCCCAAAATGTCAAAAAGAGGTTTAGAAGGATTTCGCATGGATCTTGAATGCCTCCCCAGGCTGCGCTTCCGAAAGGAGTTCGATCAGAGATTTAGAACCCTGTTTTTGAGATTCGGAGGGCGTAGGACGTTCACGACGTGAAAAGATTTGACGTGGTCAGAGACGTGGTTTGTGTAGTCATTTCACGCTGAGAAGCGGCGAAGAGCGGAAGTCTGTGATAGGCTAACCTTCATTCACACCCTGTTTCTATTTCGTTATGCGTGACTGCAGGTCGACACGGTACAGTACATTATCGAAACCGTCGTCGACCAGCTTTCGGACAATCCTGACCGCAAGTTTATTCAGGTCGAGCAGGTGAGAGCATCCTCTGTCTGTCCGTGCTAGCACGGTACCAAGTGCTCCATACCTCCGTTGCTAAATCCTAGATAAAAGCAGTTTGCGATTCGCACCAATGCTAACATCGCATCGCAGCATTGAGTAGCAAATAGGCCGCTTGTTTTTCTCGCCTTGGTTATCCCAGTGAAGTAAATTAATCACACCAACTCAGTATCTCCTGTTGCGTACGAGGTAGCCATAGTTACTGACTCACAAAGAACACAAGTGCTGGGTCTATCCATTTTTCTCAATACATAAGTTAAGAGTTTTGCTCTCATATGGATTGGATCCAACATTTTTCCTTGAGTGCAGTATTTCGAGTTCCGTACGCTATATCTGTTCTCTGATAGGTTAAAAATGTCAAAGTTTCTTCTCCCCCTCTTACCTGTATGTCTGCAGGGTTTCTTCTATCGTTGGTGGGAACGCCAGCACGAACCAATGCGGGAAAAAGTACGGAAGCTGGTGGCTTCTGGCCAACTGGAGTTCATGTGAGTCCGCACATGCCTCAATTCAATGTAAACCAGTTTCACTGAAGACAGTGCATTCTGATGTGACAGGAGAGGATGCGAATTCATTATATCAACCAGGCTATTCACTAAAGTCGTATGCATGCGTTAGCCGATTCCAAAATCTGCAGGCATGGCGTGTAGGTAGGTCATGCATGACAGGCGTTGTGGACATGGTGCACACAGGAGGGATGTGGAAGAACCCTCATTGGACATCATCCAACCGCTCCCAGCCCCCCCTGGCCCTTCCGTCCCCTCCCCCTCCTCCCCCCCCCTCCCCACCTTCCCTCTCCTCCCCTCCCCCATGCACATGTCTACTATGTTTCTTCCGTGTGCTATTCTGTGCAGCAACGGTGGGTGGGTGATGCATGACGAGGCGTGCACGCATTACACGGACATGGTGCATCAGATGGCCATGGGGCACCGCTTCCTCATGGCAACATTCAACGTCACCCCGCGCATCGCCTGGCAGATCGACCCCTTCGGCCACTCCGCCACGCAAGCCAGCCTCATCACCGCCCAGGTGCGCTGTGACTGGTGTGGTGGGTGGGTGTGGCACTGAATAGTGTGGTAAAGCCGCAGCTGCCAGCCTTATCGCTGAGGTACAGGTGAGGTACAGGTGAGGTACAGCTGCCAGCCTCATCACATCACCCCAGGTGCACCGGGAGAAAGGCAGGGGTGGCGCTTGGCTGGTGCTAGTAAGTGACGGGTGCATGTAGGCATTCAACCCCGGGGGTATTACTTCACCCCGCGCATCTCCTCACCTCACAGATCGACCCTTTTGGCCACTCCACCACCCAAGCCTGCCTCATCACCGCTCAGGTGTGGCCTGGACAGGTGGCACTTTCTAGGTGCAGCCTGAAGGTGAGGTGCAGGTGGTCATCCTGGTCCCACCCCGTTCTCTTTTCCCCCGTTCTCTTTTCCCCCGCTCTCTTTCCCCCCGCTCTCTTTTCCCCCGTTCTCTTTTCCCCCGCTCTCTTTTCCCCCGTTCTCTTTTCCCCCGCTCTCTTTCCCCCCGCTCTCTTTTCCCCCGCTCTCTTTTCCCCCGTTCTCTTTTCCCCCGCTCTCTTTTCCCCCGTTCTCTTTTCCCCCGCTCTCTTCCCCCCCGCTCTCTTTTCCCCCGCTCTCTTTTCCCCTGCTCTCTTTTCCCCCGCTCTCTTTTCCCCCGTTCTCTTTTCCCCCGCTCTCTTTTCCCCCGTTCTCTTTTCCCCCGCTCTCTTTCCCCCCGCTCTCTTTTCCCCCGCTCTCTTTTCCCCCGCTCTCTTTTCCCCCGCTCTCTTTTCCCCCGTTCTCTTTTCCCCCGCTCTCTTTTCCCGCCTCCCCTCCCCTTTGTCCTCTCCCTCAATGCCTCCATCCCCCGTCACGTCTCAACGAGCTGGTCGAGCTTTTCACAGGGAGGGAGGGTGGACAAGCAGGAAAAGCGGCCCGCTTCCCTTTCCGCCCAACCTCCGCCCTCGTTCCCCACCCACCCCATCCCGTTTTCTGTCCCCCTCCCCTCCCACTCCCTTGCCACACACATCTCCAACAGACGGGCCCACACGCAATCTCCACAAGGAGGGTGAAGCGAACCAGCAGGAGAAGCACGTCGACTTTTGAGTCGACTCAAAAGTCACACTCATCTCCAACAGTCGGGCGGGCCCAGACGCAATATCAATAAGGAGGGCGAACCAGCAGGAGAAGCACGGTCCCTCCCGTTTCACCCTCCCAGGAGAGGGCACCTCACATGTTGGCCCGCCCATTCCACCCCGTGCCCCTTTTCCCGTCCCACACCCCCCGCCGCCCCCGTTCCTCCTGTCCCCCCCCACCCCTCTCCACTCGCATCGCTCCACCAGGTGGGGCTAGAAGCGGTGTTCATGGGGAGGGTGGACCAACAGGAGAAGGAGACTCGGTTGACCGCCCCCTCCCACCCCTGACCCTTTTTCCTCCCCCATCCCTTTTTCACCCACCAGGCGGGGCTAGAAGCGGTGTTCATGGGGAGGGTGGATGAGTGCTCGCAGACTGGTCCCTCCATCAACCCCCTGCCTGTTTTCTGTCCCCCCACACACCCCTCTCCACACGCATCTCTCCACCAGGCGGGGCTAGAAGCGGTGTTCATGGGGAGGGTGGACCAGCAGGAGAAGGAGACTCGCTTGGCCGCCAAGACAATGGAGTTCATGTGGCGCGCCGAGGGGGCACGGCACAGGGACAACCAGGTGCGTGCGAGCGCGCGTGTGTGTGTGTGTGGTATGCGAGGAGAGTTTTGAGTCAACTCAAAAAGCAGAGGGACAACCAGGTGCGTGTGTGGTACGCGAGGAGAGGAGGCTGAGCGAATGGCAGGGTGAAGCAATAAGGGGATATGGGGAGCAGGAAAGGGCGACTCGCTTGGCTGCCAGAACAATGGATTTCATGTGGCGCGCCGAGGGGGCAGGGCAGAGAGACAACCAGGTGCGTGTGTGTGTGTGGTATGCGAGGTGGGCTGCATGTGATGCTGCTGAGAGGTGGGTGCGTGAGGCAGGCAGAGCGAATGGTAGGGTGTACCGCTGGGGACTAACCAAGAGAAGCAGGCTCTCGTGACATGACCGCCAGGAAAAGACAGTTGAAGTGGCCAGGGCACACCCCATCGCATGGCCAGGGCACACCCCATCGCATGGCCAGGGCACACCCCATCGCATGGCCAGGGCACACCCCATCGCATGGCTAGGGCACACCCCATCGCATGGCCAGGGCACACCCCATCGCATGGCCAGGGCACACCCCATCGCATGGCCAGGGCACTGGTATCAGAGCTTGGCGAACGGCCGTGTCGATCGTCGTGGATTCACTTAGTGCGCTAAGTGAAATTAATAGAGAAGAGGAGTTATTCACGCCTACGCCATGGGGGACGAGGCGAGTTCAGATTCCAGTGTGAGTCTTGGAGACCCGCAGTTGAAGGCTCTTATCGAGGCCCTTGCGAGTGGCCGTTTGATGGCGAAACCGACAATCGGGCTCAGTGAAGCTCAACGCTTCAACGGGAGCAACTACAACATGTGGCGAAAGAAGTTCATTCGGAGGGCAGAGGAGGTGGACCTCTTGCCGTACTACCGTCCCGACGAGGAGACGAAGGAGGGAGTTGCGCCTTCCACGACAGATACGGACGAGAAAATAGCGGCGTTTAAGAAACAAAGCAAGCAAGCGTTCTTTCAGCTTTGTCACTCAGTTGCCGATGGAATCGCGGTGGATTTGGACCAGTTTGGAGGGGAGCTGAACTCTGCACAGAAAGCGTGGGAGTACCTGGAGTCCACGTACATGGGCACCAATGATGTCAACAAGAAGGCGATTAGGAAGCAACTGCTGATGCTGAGCATGGAGAAAGGCGAGAAAATCATCACCTACATCAACAGGGCGAAAAGCTACAACGACGATTTGCGGGTGATGGGAGCCACGGAGACGGAGCATGAGATGATCGACTACATCATCCAAGGCCTTCCTAAAGAGTGGGAATCCGATATCGGTATGTTTACGTACCAACCGCCGGAGAGTTTGACGAAGCTGCAAGAGATTTTGCAATCACTGGAGACGGTGAAGGAGATGAGGAAAAAGAAAGCGGTAGCAACAGCGGAGGAATTTGAAGAAGAGAGGCCTGCTTTGGTGAATGCAACGAAGATGTTTGGAGCGTGCTACCAGTGTGGAAAGAGGGGGCATAAGGCGATACACTGCTATGAAAATCCGCGAAGCAGAAACTACAAGGGTAAAGCGGTGGAGAACGACAAAGGAGAAAATGGGGGAGCAGAGTGGCAGCAGAAACGAGGCTTCAGCGGCAAGTGCGACTATTGTGGGCGCTATGGACATCGTGCCGCAGAGTGCTACTCCAACCCGAACAGCAGGAGCTACAAGGGTCCGTCGCAGCAGAGGATTGTGGCGGGTAAGGCGAATGTAGCGGAAGCCGAAAAGGAGGATGTGATTTTGGGAGGAGCGCATCTTGCGAACGTGGTGCGTTTACCGAAGGATGTTCGTCAGACGGACGAACGTGAGAAGACAGCATGGTTCATGGACAGCGGATGCACGCGTCACATGACGTTCAGGTTAGATTGGATGGAGAATGTGAGGGAGTCGAGTGAGGATTATATACTGCAAGGTAACAGTGGAAAGTTACCAGTGACAGGAGAGGGTGACGTGGTGCTGCGGAGTCCGGATGGAGTAGTGAAACTGGAGAGTGTGTTGCTGGTTGAGGATTTGAAGGTGAATCTGGTCAGTCAGTCACAGCTTGATGACTTGGGGTGCAAGATATTTTATGACAGAGGCGAGGTTACAGTGTTTGATCATGAGTGGGAGAAGTACGCGGATGGTTATTTTAGTGACGGGTTCTATGAGATGGACTTGGTGGGGATGAACGATAAGGATGAGATCTATGAGGATCCAGAGCCTAATGAGGTTGATGAGAGTGAGGACTCGAAGGATACGGCAGCAAGTGTTGAGGCAGTAGTGAAACAGGAAGAGGATATAGTCACCATGGAGGCAGCAACAGTAAATGGTGGAGATGGAGAATGTGTCAACACTTTTGCAGCAGCGATCGTGGTTGAAGATGAAGCAGTAAATGCGAAGTGCGTGGGAGTTGAAGCTGTGAAAGGGGGCATCATGGTGAAAGGATCAACGGCGAATGCAACTGCAAAGGAGCGAGTGCTTACGAAAGAGGAACACGTTGAGGGGTACAAGACCCGAGAGGTGTCGGGTGACAAGATGCCAAGGAGAAGCGAGAGGCTCAAGAAAATCTCTCAAGGTTTGGACGTCAAGGCTCTCAACTTCAAGACACGTAAGCAGCGGTTCAAGCTGCAGGAGCTGCAGGGGAGCGTGAAGCCGAGTTAGACCCCGTGAAGGCTACAAGGAGCAGGGGAGCAGTGCGAATGGTGTTCGTGGTTGACGAACCACAGGGGAGGTTGTTAGGGTTGGTTCGACCAACCACGGAACCTACGGCGAAAGCTTCTGCGACGGCGGAATGACGGCAAAGGAAGCGTGTGGACTATTCTAGAGTGAAGCGGTGGAAATCGGCCTATGGCGTGAGAAGCGGGAGAGAAATCTAGAAGAAATGTGCAAGGAGGAAGAGAGAAGGAGAAGCATTGAGAATGAGATCGACGGGGGAAATTGTGGTTCGAGACCAAGGCGCGTTCGAGAAGGTTCTGAATTCGGTTCAGTTCCGTGTGCGACTCGGGGTGAAACGAGGCGCGCGCGAGATTGCTTGAGAAACAAGTTACGTTACGAATCGCGTTTTGCGTATTTCCTGACTATAAATCTGTTTGTACTCTTTCTGGAAATCACAACATTGATCAACTTGGTAATTCTGAAAATTGCTCGAGTGTGTATTGACAACTTCAAGCAGAGCTGCGCATATCATTGGATTCGTGAGATCGTGGAGAACACGATATTCATTAGCAAGTAGACTATTGCCGACTAAGAGGCACACCCCATCGCATGGCCAGGGCACACCCCATCGCATGGCCAGGGCACACCCCATCGCATGGCCAGGGCACACCCCATCGCATGGCCAGGGCACACCCCATCGCATGGCCAGGGCACACCCCATCGCATGGCCAGGGCACACCCCATCGCATGGCCAGGGCACACCCCATCGCATGGCCAGGGCACACCCCATCGCATGGCCAGGGCACACCCCATCGCATGGCCAGGGCACACCCCATCGCATGGCCAGGGCACACCCCATCGCATGGCCAGGGCACACCCCATCGCATGGCCAGGGCACACCCCATCGCATGGCCAGGGCACACCCCATCGCATGGCCAGGGCACACCCCATCGCATGGCCAGGGCACACCCCATTGCATGGCCAGGGCACACCCCATCGCATGGCCAGGGCACACCCCATCGCATGGCCAGGGCACACTCCATCACATGGCCAGGGCCCACCCCATCGCATGGCCAGGGCACACCCCATCACATGGCCAGGGCACACCCCATCACATGGCCAGGGCACACCCCATCACATGGCCTGGGCGCACCCCATCGCATGGCCAGGGCACACCCCATCGCATGGCCAGGGCACACCCCATCGCATGGCCAGGGCACACCCCATCACATGGCCAGGGCACACCCCATCACATGGCCAGGGCACACCCCATCGCATGGCCAGGGCACACCCCATCGCATGGCCAGGGCACCACAGTTAGTGTCGCAGTAAGGGGCGTCGGAAGGACAGCCAGGTGAGTGCGTTTCGGTTAGGTTGATTACACCAAGTTCACCATATCTGTCTCCTCCTCCACCTCTTTCCCTCCACGCCTTGTCACTCCATGCCGCTCACCTCTCCTCCCAACCCCCCTTGCCTGCCTGCCAGGTGCTGGGAGAACGCTCTCCTCTGCTCTCCAGTTGTTCGCCTTCGATTTTTCTCAATCTCTTTCCTTTCTGCTGCCACTCCACTCAACATCTCGTCCCAACTGCCCCCCCCAGGTGCTGGGAATGGTCTCCTATGACGGCTACTACGCACCGCCTCAGTTCCGCTACCAGGACTCGGACGATTCTTCCAACCACTCCCCTCTCCACCCCTCTCCACCCCTCTCCAACCCTCTCCAACCCTCTCTACCCCTCTCCAACCCTCTCTCAGGTGCTGGGAATGGTCTCCTACGACGGCTACTACTCACCGCCTCAGTTCCGCTACCAGGACTCAGACGATCCTTCCTACCGTATTCAGGTACTCGCATTCTCCCTCTGCTGCTCCGCTCTCGCCCCTCTGCTGTTCTGCACGTGCCCCTCTGCTCCACCACAGAGGTTAAGTGTGCTGCATGTGCACGTTTCCCGTAGCCAAATCCCTCTCTCTGCCCTCCAAACCCCATCGTTGACTTTTCGCACGATGTCTTTCCACACCATGCCCATGCCTTTCACCATACCTTTCACCATCCCTTTCACCATGTCTTTCCACACCATGCCCATGCCTTTCACCATGCCTTTCACCATCCCTTTCACCATGCCTTTCACCATGCCTGTTCAGCACCATGCCATTCACCATGCCTGTTCAGCACCATGCCTTTCACCATGCCTGTCAGCACCATGCCTTTCACCATGCCTGTACAGTACCATGCCTTTCACCATACCTGTTCAGCACCATGCCTTTCACCACTCATTATTTTGGCTAGTCACTTGCGTGGATCCCTGCTCCTGTGCGCACTGAACCCCCTTACAGCTGACAATCATAACCCCCCCTTCCTGCCAGGTCGCAACCCCGCAGCTCCCCCTGCTCTCTTGCACGCCCTCTGCTCTTCCATGCCCACTTTCCCCGTCGTTTCTCCCTTGTTCAGGACAATCCTGATCAAACACCTTGCACGCCCGCTGCTCTACCGTCTCCCCTCTACCGTCGTCCCCTGTTCAGGACAATCCCTATGGAGGGTCGCCCAACGTGCAGCGCCTAGTGGACGAGTTTGTCACAGAAGTGACCAAGAGGGTGAGTGGCACTTGTGCCTTCTTCCACTAAACATGCTCTGTCTGTGCACAGTGGATGTCTTTTGACTTTTGCGTCGAACCTATGGGGGGTCGCCCAACGTGCAGCGCCTAGTGGACGAGTTTGTCACAGAAGTGACCAAGAGGGTGAGTGAGTGGCGCTTGTGCCTTCCAGCATGCTTGTGCTTGCGCAATACATGCATTCTGATTCGACACATTAATCAACGTGCAGCACCTCGTGAACGAGTTTGTCACAGAAGTGACCAAGAGGGCGAGTGCCGCTTGGACTGGACTGGACTGCCCGTGTCACAAAAAAGGTGACCAAGAGCGTGAGTGGCAGTTGCGCCTTCTTCCACTATACTTGAGCTGTGAGTGAGTGGCACAGTGGATGTCTTTGGAGTCGACTTAAAAACATTGTAAACTGTCTCGTCAACCAATTTGTATAGGAGGTGACCAAGAAAGTGAGTGATTCTTGGACTGTGCTTCAAGTACACTCGCACAATAGATGTGCGTGCAAATCATGCTGAAGAGCACATGGTTTGAGAGATATGGGTGAAGTAACTGATTAAATGCACAAAGTTAGGTACCTCACGTTTAAAGTTCAGGCCCCTCAAGATTATGAGGATTTAAGATTTCAAGTCCAGGTTTTAGGTTTTAGGGTCTTGCATGGGGAAAATTTCACGTTACACCGTGAAATAAATACGTTTCCTTGTACTTGCATAGGGGAAATTCCAGGGCCCATCAGAAGTATTCCACGTTCCCTTCCCTGGTGGCTGCCATTGGCCCACCAATGTACCATCCACAGCGCCTTCCCACCCACCAAACCCTTATCTCAAAACCTCATCTTCCTCTCGCTGCCTTCTCCCTTCCTTTCCGTGATTCCCGTCTCACACACTCCGCAAGGGTTTGATACCTAGCTCTGCGCTGCACCTGAACCCCATAAGAAAGGCCAACCAGCTCCTCACTTACTCTTTAACTCCACCTCCTCCTCCTCCACCCAGCAGGCGGAAGGCTATTACTTCATCTCCAGGCAAACTTTTGCCTTGGACCAACTTCCATTCCATTCACTCGCTCACTGGCTCGGTCACTTCTTTCGCTCACTCACTTACTTGCTCTCTCGCTCATGGCTCCTCCTGAGCCTCAAGCCGGCAGAGGGCGTCAAGGCAAATCACCTGTTGATTCCAATCCCATGGACCATGGACGAGGACTTGCGTTCGACCGGCCATCCTTTCACTCACTCGCTGCTTCCTCTGCGCCTCACTCTCTCTCCTAAACTCCCGAGCAGGCGGAGGGCTTTAAGACGAATCACCTGTTGTTCCCCATGGGCGAGGACTTTGCGTTTGACCGCGCCATCTCGTGGTTCAAGAACATGGACAAGCTCATTCACTACGTCAACCTGGTCGGTCGATCGTTGGTGCTTGTTGGGTCGCTGTGTGGTAGGCATGGCTTGGGATGGCATGGCATGGCATGCCGTCTCGTGGTTCAAGAACATGGACAAGCTCATTCACTACGTCAACCTGGTCAGTTGCTGGGTATCGGGTGGGTCCGTGGGTGCCGGGTGGGTGGGTCCGTGGGTGTCGGGTGGGTCCGTGGGTGCTTGGCTTAACGTGGGATTGGATGGCATGGCATGATAGGCGATGGCATGGCGTGGAATTGCATCTTGTGGTTCAGGGAAATGGACAAGCTCATTCACTATGTCAACCTGGTCAATTGCTTGCTGGTGCTGGATGGGTTGCTGGGTGCTTGGCATGGTGATATGATATGCCATGGTGGGATGGATTGGATGCGTGGGATGCCATGGGTCGGGCTGGCATGGCATGGATAAGCTGCACGGATTGAGAATTCAAGCACATTTCTGTGAGAGAATGGTCATGTTGCAGTTTCTAAAGCCGTATCAGTCAGCCAAAAGTGCCGTTGATCTGCAGTGTACAGACATATTGCTGTCTCGTTACGACCTTTACAATACCATGTTGGAAACCGTTCCTTTGCACAAGAACACACCTGTTAACTCTGCGCCTCCAATTGATCTCTTTCCCAACCATTGCGTATTTGCATAACCATGCTACTGTGTATTTTCGTACTCGTGTAACTGCGTAACCGTGTTACAGGACGGGAGGGTGAACGCGCTCTATTCCACGCCATCCATGTATCTGGACGCGCTGCACTCCTCCAATGCCACATGGCCTCTCAAGACCGGTGACATGTTCCCGTGAGTTACTCGGCAGACAACTATCTGTTCTCCCCTGCAAGCAAGCATCCATCCATCCACACCCATCCTTGCCACTTGCACTACTGCAACTGCACTGCATCCATTCAAATAAAATCATTGTCGCCGTCCCTATCTCTCACCCATCACACCACGCCCTATCTCTCACCCATCACACCACGCCCTATCTCTCACCCATCACACCACGCCCTATCTCTCACCCATCACACCACGCCCTATCTCTCACCCATCACACCACGCCCTATTGCTCACCCTTCCCCATCACCCTTCCCTCTCTCCCAATCTCTGCACCTCCCCACCCAAGAGCCTCTTGCCTCTCGCCCCAGCCATGGCGCAACCCATTCTCTCTCTTTGATTCTCATGTACCCCCAACCGCCTCACTACCCTTCCCGTTTCCCTCTACCCCGCCCCTCACCCCAGCTATCAGGACGATGGGCCCTGCTGGTCGGACTACTTTCACAAAGGAACCATTCTCCGCATAGATTTCTCTCATACCCTTCCCCCTTCTCCCCCTTCTCCCCCTCCCCCCCCCCCTCGCCTCAGGTATCAGGACAGTGGGCCCTACTGGTCGGGCTACTTCAGCAGCCGCCCCTCCCTGAAGCTCCTCGCGCGCTCCTGCAGCGCCCTCCTGCTGGTGCGCTGCCATCTCAACCTGCTCTGCAGATGTGGTGTGGTGTGGTGGGATGGGATGGGATGGGATGAAATGGGATGGGATGGGATGGAATGGGATGAAATGGGATGGGATGGGATGGAATGGGATGGAATGGGATGAAATGGGATGGGATGGGATGGAATGTCACATCGGGGCTTACCCCTGAAGCTCCTCGTGCGCTCCAGCAGCGCCCTCCTGCTGGTGCGCTGCCTGCCCTCTGAACCTGCCTTCTGTGGTGTGGTGTGGTGGGGCGTGGTGTCGTGGGATGGGATGGGATGGGATGGGATGGGATGGGATGGGATGGGATGGGATGGGATGGGATGGGATGGGATCAGATGGGATGTCACATCGGGCGTACTCTCTGAAGCTCCTTGCCCGCTCCTGCAGCGCGCTGCTGCTGCTGCTGCGCTGCTTATTTCACCTGCCTGCTTTTGCGTGATGTGATGTGATGTGATGTGATAGATGTGATGTGACGTGATATGAGGAGAGAATTCACTTCTTCATTACTCCCCTCCTTACATGCACATCACCCAAACATGCCGCACTCTCCCATCGTTCACTCTGGCCTGTTCTTTCATCCACTGAGTCGACGTCTGAGTCGGCTCAACAGTCACTTCGATCACGTGTTCTTCACTCACCCATGGTTCACTCAACCCATCGGTCTGAAAGCTACTGATGCCGTGGCTTGCTTGGCTCACCCCCTTAACGCCATTGAAAAGCACACTTGCCTCTTGAGGCGGCTCCAAATCACACTTTCCTCTTAGGCGACTCAGAAGCACACTTGCCGTTGCATCACATTGTGCATGCCTCTACCTCCCTTCCCTCTCCCCCTCCCCCCTCAGGCCACCACAGCAGCAGAGGCAGCAGTGGGAAAGCAAGCACTGCAGGCGTGGGGCATGGCGACCGGGCGCATGGTGGTACTGGAACACCTCGTGCTGGACCTGCACATGGGAAATGCGACGAGAGACAGCCACGAGGAGGAGAAGCAGGCGGATGGGGGGAAGAGTGGGGGAGAGAGTGCGAGAGGGGTGGAGGGGATGAGGGTGGGGTGGGAGGGCGACCGGCGGGTGCGAGTGGCGAACTCGTTCCGGCTGGAGGAGGCGGTGGCAGTGGTGCAGCACCATGATGGCATCACGGGGACGGCCCAGCAGCATGTGACCGACGACTATTCTGATAGGCTGCACCGAGCTGCGATGGAGGTGAGGGTTGTTAGAGGGCACTGGGTTTTGTGTGCATGTGGGCTGGAGGAGGCGGTGGCAGTGGTGCAGCAGCATGATGGCATCACGGGGACAGCACAGCAGCATGTTACAGATGAATATTCTGCTAGACTGCACCGCGCTGCCGTGGAGGTGAGGGCTGAGTGCATGGGTAGAGGTTAGTCCCCTCAGTGCATGGCATGTGGGCTGGAGGAGGCGGAGGCAGTGGTGCAGCAGCATGATGGCATCACAGGCACAGCACAGCAGCACGCAAGTTATGACTGCCCCTTAGAATGCACCACGCTGCTGTGGGAATGGAGGTTAGTGGTGAATGGAGGTTAGTGGTGAATGGAGTGGGACTAGTACTAGGTGTTGTGCTCCGTGCATGTGTGAACGCCGATGCATGTAGCGCAACATCACGGGCGCAGCACAGCAGCATGTTACTGATGACTACTCTGCCAGGCTGCATGCATGGACCTATCAGCCGTGCTGACAGCAGCACTGGCGCACCTCATCACCTGAGGCACCATCTCCCCATCGTAAGACACTCCACACACCCCCCAATCCCGCCATCCCACCACCCCCATCCGTACCTCCAGCCAACCTCTCGTCGCGGGCAGGCAGCTGCGGAGTTCACTTTTGAGTCAACTCAGAAGTCAGCTCGGGCAGGCAGCTGCGGAGTTCACTTTTGAGTCAACTCAGAAGTCAGCTCGGGCAGGCAGCTGCGGAGTTCACTTTTGAGTCAACTCAGAAGTCAGCTCGGCCAGGCAGCTGCGGAGTTCACTTCTGAGTCAACTCAGAAGTCAGCTCGGGCAGGCAGCTGCGGAGTTCACTTTTGAGTCAACTCAGAAGTCAGCTCGGGCAGGCAGCTGTGGAGTTCACTTTTGAGTCAACTCAGAAGTCAGCTCGGGCAGGCAGCTGCGGAGTTCACTTTTGAGTCAACTCAGAAGTCAGCTCGGGCAGGCAGCTGTGGAGTTCACTTTTGAGTCAACTCAGAAGTCAGCTCGGGCAGGCAGCTGCGGAGTTCACTTTTGAGTCAACTCAGAAGTCAGCTCGGGCAGGCAGCTGCGGAGTTCACTTCTGAGTCAACTCAGAAGTCAGCTCGGGCAGGCAGCTGCGGAGTTCACTTTTGAGTCAACTCAGAAGTCAGCTCGGGCAGGCAGCTGCGGAGTTCACTTTTGAGTCAACTCAGAAGTCAGCTCGGGCAGGCAGCTGCGGAGTTCACTTTTGAGTCAACTCAGAAGTCAGCTCGGGCAGGCAGCTGCGGAGTTCACTTTTGAGTCAACTCAGAAGTCAGCTCGGGCAGGCAGCTGCGGAGTTCACTTTTGAGTCAACTCAGAAGTCAGCTCGGGCAGGCAGCTGTGGAGTTCACTTTTGAGTCAACTCAGAAGTCAGCTCGGGCAGGCAGCTGTGGAGTTCACTTTTGAGTCAACTCAGAAGTCAGCTCGGGCAGGCAGCTGTGGAGTTCACTTTTGAGTCAACTCAGAAGTCAGCTCGGGCAGGCAGCTGTGGAGTTCACTTTTGAGTCAACTCAGAAGTCAGCTCGGGCAGGCAGCTGCGGAGTTCACTTTTGAGTCAACTCAGAAGTCAGCTCGGGCAGGCAGCTGTGGAGTTCACTTTTGAGTCAACTCAGAAGTCAGCTCGGGCAGGCAGCTGCGGAGTTCACTTTTGAGTCAACTCAGAAGTCAGCTCGGGCAGGCAGCTGTGGAGTTCACTTTTGAGTCAACTCAGAAGTCAGCTCGGGCAGGCAGCTGCGGAGTTCACTTTTGAGTCAACTCAGAAGTCAGCTCGGGCAGGCAGCTGCGGAGTTCACTTTTGAGTCAACTCAGAAGTCAGCTCGGGCAGGCAGCTGTGGAGTTCACTTTTGAGTCAACTCAGAAGTCAGCTCGGGCAGGCAGCTGTGGAGTTCACGTTTGAGTCAACTCAGAAGTCAGCTCGGGCAGGCAGCTGTGGAGTTCACTTTTGAGTCAACTCAGAAGTCAGCTCGGGCAGGCAGCTGTGGAGTTCACTTTTGAGTCAACTCAGAAGTCAGCTCGGGCAGGCAGCTGCGGAGTTCACTTTTGAGTCAACTCAGAAGTCAGCTCGGGCAGGCAGCTGTGGAGTTCACTGTTGAGTCAACTCAGAAGTCAGCTCGGGCAGGCAGCTGTGGAGTTCACTTTTGAGTCAACTCAGAAGTCAGCTCGGGCAGGCAGCTGCGGAGTTCACTTTTGAGTCAACTCAGAAGTCAGCTCGGGCAGGCAGCTGCGGAGTTCACTTTTGAGTCAACTCAGAAGTCAGCTCGGGCAGGCAGCTGCGGAGTTCACTTTTGAGTCAACTCAGAAGTCAGCTCGGGCAGGCAGCTGTGGAGCTCACTTTTGAGTCAACTCAGAAGTCAGCTCGGGCAGGCAGCTGTGGAGTTCACTTTTGAGTCAACTCAGAAGTCAGCTCGGGCAGGCAGCTGAGGAGTTCACTTTTGAGTCAACTCAGAAGTCAGCTCGGGCAGGCAGCTGTGGAGTTCACTTTTGAGTCAACTCAGAAGTCAGCTCGGGCAGGCAGCTGCGGAGTTCACTTTTGAGTCAACTCAGAAGTCAGCTCGGGCAGGCAGCTGTGGAGTTCACTTTTGAGTCAACTTAGAAGTCAGCTCGGGCAGGCAGCTGCGGAGTTCACTTTTGAGTCAACTCAGAAGTCAGCTCGGGCAGGCAGCTGTGGAGTTCACTTTTGAGTCAACTCAGAAGTCAGCTCGGGCAGGCAGCTGCGGAGTTCACTTTTGAGTCAACTCAGAAGTCAGCTCGGGCAGGCAGCTGTGGAGTTCACTTTTGAGTCAACTCAGAAGTCAGCTCGGGCAGGCAGCTGCGGAGTTCACTTTTGAGTCAACTCAGAAGTCAGCTCGGGCAGGCAGCTGCGGAGTTCACTTTTGAGTCAACTCAGAAGTCAGCTCGGGCAGGCAGCTGTGGAGTTCACTTTTGAGTCAACTCAGAAGTCAGCTCGGGCAGGCAGCTGTGGAGTTCACGTTTGAGTCAACTCAGAAGTCAGCTCGGGCAGGCAGCTGTGGAGTTCACTTTTGAGTCAACTCAGAAGTCAGCTCGGGCAGGCAGCTGTGGAGTTCACTTTTGAGTCAACTCAGAAGTCAGCTCGGGCAGGCAGCTGCGGAGTTCACTTTTGAGTCAACTCAGAAGTCAGCTCGGGCAGGCAGCTGTGGAGTTCACTGTTGAGTCAACTCAGAAGTCAGCTCGGGCAGGCAGCTGTGGAGTTCACTTTTGAGTCAACTCAGAAGTCAGCTCGGGCAGGCAGCTGCAGAGTTCACTTTTGAGTCAACTCAGAAGTCAGCTCGGGCAGGCAGCTGCGGAGTTCACTTTTGAGTCAACTCAGAAGTCAGCTCGGGCAGGCAGCTGTGGAGTTCACTTTTGAGTCAACTCAGAAGTCAGCTCGGGCAGGCAGCTGTGGAGTTCACTTTTGAGTCAACTCAGAAGTCAGCTCGGGCAGGCAGCTGCGGAGTTCACTTTTGAGTCAACTCAGAAGTCAGCTCGGGCAGGCAGCTGTGGAGTTCACTTTTGAGTCAACTCAGAAGTCAGCTCGGGCAGGCAGCTGCGGAGTTCACTTTTGAGTCAACTCAGAAGTCAGCTCGGGCAGGCAGCTGTGGAGTTCACTTTTGAGTCAACTCAGAAGTCAGCTCGGGCAGGCAGCTGCGGAGTTCACTTTTGAGTCAACTCAGAAGTCAGCTCGGGCAGGCAGCTGTGGAGTTCACTTTTGAGTCAACTCAGAAGTCAGCTCGGGCAGGCAGCTGCGGAGTTCACTTTTGAGTCAACTCAGAAGTCAGCTCGGGCAGGCAGCTGTGGAGTTCACTTTTGAGTCAACTCAGAAGTCAGCTCGGGCAGGCAGCTGCGGAGTTCACTTTTGAGTCAACTCAGAAGTCAGCTCGGGCAGGCAGCTGTGGAGTTCACTTTTGAGTCAACTCAGAAGTCAGCTCGGGCAGGCAGCTGTGGATTTCACGTTTAAGGAGGACAGCGAAGAGCAGCGGGGGAAGGGGGTCTGGGATCACATGGTTCAGGTGGCCACTCCCAACATCCCATCTCTCAGTCTCCGAACCTCCCATCTCCCATCCCCACACACCGCCCGTGCAGGCATCAGCCGTGCTGACAGCAGCACTGGCGCACCTCATCATGCGAGGCTCCATCACCCCATCCAACCTCTCCTCCAACCTCTCTTCGCAAGCAGCCGTGGAGTTCACGTTCAGGGAGGGCAGCGAATAGCAGCACAGTGGGGGCTCTGGAACCAGTCAGTCCAGATGGTCCAGATGGTCCAGATGGTCCAGATGGTCCAGATGGTCCAGTCAGCACAAACGGCCGTTCTCAATCCCCCAACCCAACCTCCCATTCCCCAACCAACCCACTGCCCGTGCAGGCATCAGCTGTGCTCACAGCAGCGCTGGCGCACCTCATCACCCGAGGCACCATTCCCCCGTCCCCATCCGTGCCCCCATCCGTGCCCCCAGCCAACTTCTCCTCCAACTTCTCCTCGCGGGCAGCAGCCGTGGAGTTCACGTTTAAGGAGGACAGCGAAGAGCAGCGCGGGTGGGGGTTCTGGAACCAGTTAGCAGATGGGGCAGACGAGGGGGATGACGAGGATGAAGGGGGTGAGGGGGACGAGGGGGATGAGGAAGATGAGGAGGGTAAAGCACGCAAGATTGACAGGATGAATGAACTGCTATATGAGGCAGATAGAGCAGGTGCGGAAGATGAGGGGGATGAGGAGGCAGGAGAGGGAGATGGTGGGAAGCATGCAGCAAGGTCCCGTGCAAAGTGGGCCCGTGCAAAGAGGGCCCGTCACGAGGAGGAGGAGACAACAAGCGATCCCAACAGGGTGTTTGACCCTCAGGCGTTGCACCAAGCTGACCCTCAAGCGGTCCAGAACAGTGCAGCTGACCCCGAAGCGGTTCAGAACGGTGCTTCTGGGAAGGTGTCTGGGTCTGATGGGAGTACACGCCCTACTGCTGGCGGCACACGGCCTGATGAGAGGAGAGGGCAGGAGGTGGTGGGGGGGCAAGGCAGCAGGGGGACCAGAAGGAGGCGGGTGCAGCAGGGTGAGGGTGCCGAAGCAGAGGAGGGGGGGCAGCAGCTGCCTTCACTGGACCTGAAAATGGTGTGTGCTGATGATAATGGTGTGGTGGTGGTGTGATGTTGATGGTGGTGGTATGGTGTGATGATGTGGTGGTGTGATGATGGTGTGTTGTGATGATGTTGATGATGATGATGACGATGATGTGGTGGTGTGATGATGATGATGTGGTGGTGTGATGATGATGATGTGGTGGTGTGATGATGATGGTGTGGTGGTGTGATGATGATGATGTGGTGGTGTGATGATGATGATGTGGTGGTGTGATGATGATGATGTGGTGGTGTGATGATGATGATGTGGTGGTGTGATGATGATGATGTGGTGGTGTGATGATGATGATGTGGTGGTGTGATGATGATGATGTGGTGGTGTGATGATGATGATGTGGTGGTGTGATGATGATGATGTGGTGGTGTGATGATGATGATGTGGTGGTGTGATGATGATGGTGTGGTGGTGTGATGCACATCTATGTCGATCTGCTACTGCCCACCTGTGTCGCTTCCATCTCACCCTCCATCCACTCATCTCCCCTCCCTCTTTTTCCCCTCTCATCCCTGCATTTCTAATTACCCTCCTCCCTCCCTTCCTCCTCCCCCACCCTCCACAGTGCCCGCTTCTCAACATCTCCTACTGCCCTCCATCCACTCTTCTCTCCTCCCCCTTTCGCCCCCTCTCATCCCGGCATTCTGCCCCCCTCCGCCCCTCTCCACAGTGCCCGCTTCTCAACATCTCCTACTGCCCTCCAACCGAAACACCCCTGCAGCCAGATCAGACCCTGGTTGGTATCATGCATGCTGTTTCACACGCCATGCCACACACATCCCATCCCATGCAGCGTCGTGAAGCATTCACCCACCCAGTCATATTGAGTCAACTTACAACTCACTGACCTGAGTATCGTTGCTTCCCCTCCGTTCCACTGCCCATTTCCCTATCTCCTTTGCTTGCCGTGCGTGCTACTTCTCTCATTCACCTCTCACATCCGTCCCTACTGCTCACCTCCACGCACTCCGTTCCCATCTCTCCCTTTCATTTCCTCCATTCCCACCGCATGTCTCCATGTTTCCCAACCATACCGTACGACCTAAGCCGGTCTTGGGAATTCTCAAAAACTCCTCATCCATGCTCCATCCGCCCACATGTCTCCACCTTTCCCATCCATACCCATCCCACAGGTGGTGGTGGCCTTCAACCCTCTCGCGTGGTCCCGCTCTGAAGTGATTCGATTCCCGGTATGAGTGCAGTGCCCCCAAACGCTTTAGTTTAGCTCGTCCATCTTGCCTCACAGCAGCACCAGCATCAGCACCAGGACCAGCATCAGCATCAGCACCAGCACCAGCACCAGCACCAGCACCACCAGCACCAGCACCAGCACCATGACATTACCAGGTAAACGATTTGTTGCCCTCCTCTCCCGCACCACCCAGAGCATTCACATCCTCTCCCTCCCCTCCCTACACAACACCCCCCTCCCTCTATTCTCACTCCTTGACAGGTATCCTCCCCCAACTCACTCGTCTCTGATGCCTCTGATACCCCCATCCCCTCTCAAAGTACTCAAGATTGATCCTCCTCCCCCTCTACACCCGCTCCACTCCACCCACATCATGTCTTACGCGTTCCCTTCCATCCCCTCCCTCCTCTTCTCCTCCCCCCCTCTCCCCCCTTCCCACGACGCTCCTTGACAGGTGTCATCCCCCTACCTCCTAGTCACAGACGCCTCTGGCGCCCCCATCCCCTCTCAAATACTTATTGAAGCCCCTTTCTCCCCGCCCACCCGCCCCACTCCACCCACGTCGGGGCTATGCGTTTCCTCCCCTGTCTACCACTTTTCACGGTTCCACCTTTTGCACTCCCTGGCAGGTATCATCTCCTCTCCTGCTAGTCACCGACGCCTCTGGCGCCCCCATCCCCTCTCAGATACTCCAAGAGACGCTCCTCTCCCCCTCCACCCGCTCCACTCCACCCACATCAGAACTTACGCTTTCCCTCCCCTCCCTTCCCCTCACTCCTTACCCCCCACTCTCCCCCCTTCCCACTGCGCTCCTTGACAGGTGTCATCCCCCTACCTGCTAGTCACTGACGCCTCTGGCGCCCCCATCCCGTCTCAAATACTCCAAGAGACCCTCCTCTCCCCCTCCACCCGCTCCACCTACATTGCTGCTTACACCGGTGTGGGGGGCATAGTAGGGGAGGTGGAGGGGGAGGAGGAAGAGGTGGAGGGAGGGGAAGGAGGGGAGGAGGGAGGGGAGGAGGGAGAGGAGGGGGAGGAAGGGGAGGAGGAGGGAGGTGAGGGGGGGGGTGAGGAGGAGTGGGTGGATTATGGGGATGGGCGAGGGCCGCAGCCGAGCCATAAGCCGAAAAGGAAGCACCGGGAAAGGCAGACTAAGGAAGTGACGGGGAGAGAGCAGAAGAAGGGAGAGCAGAAGGAGGGGGAGCAAAAGGAGGGAGAGCAGCAGCAGCAGCAGCAGGCAGTGCTGTCGCTTGTGTTCTATGCAGAGGTGCCTCCTCTTGGATACGCAACCTTCTTTGTCTCGCCAGCAAGCCAAGGTACAGCACCTATCAGCTATGCTGTATTATGGCCTACTTCAAAGGCTCATTACTCAGAGCGGAAAAGCTGGGTTCTTAAAGTTGTGAATGTCCAGAAAGCTGTGCTGTACAGCTCATTTTTGAAGCACCTCAGAAGTTGTGCTATTCAGCTTAATTCATAGTGCTAGCTGCGCCACTGAAAAGCATTGTTTGCACCAAGGTACGTCGCATGCAGAGAAGTTAGCAGCATGCAGACAAACAAGCAGCATGCAGGGCACACTGCGTGTTTGTGTGCTTCGTGTCATCACACCACACATGCAAACCACTCGGCTCCTCTGCTCACCTGCCTCTCACAATTCCTTCCATGCCTTCCCCCCATGCAGACACACCCGGCAGGGCATACGAGAGTGCTGCATGGAGCAACACGGTTGATGCTGCAGCAGCATCGCCAGGGGCAGCGGCAGCAGCACAGACTGTGGCAGCACTGCCACCTGCGACACCAGCAGCAGCAGCAGCGGCGGCAACGGCATCTGAAGCAGCATCAGTCCAGACGGAAGCTGCTGCGGCCCAGGCAGGGGCAGCCGAGAAGCAATTAGGCAAGGCGGGGAGAGGGAGGAAGACGAGAGGGTGGAGGATGGTTGCGAGTGGTGGAGAAGAGGGGGGGATGATCGACGGGGAGAGAGGAGGGAAGGAGGCGGGGAGCAGGGGAAGTGGAAGCAGGAGGGGGTTGCAGGGCGGTGAGGGAATGAAGGAGGGCAGGACGGGTGGGGGAGAAGGGAGGGGAAGGGAGCGGGCAGGAAGGGGATGATACTGTTGTGCTGGGTGGGTGGCAAGGTGTTGGGGACACTCATGGTAGCGGTGCTGCTGGTGCTGACAGGGGTGGTGGGGAGCGGGCGGCGTTGCGTGTCTCGTTCTCCAAGTCAGCGGTGGGCATGCAGCGCATGGAGCTGGTCTCTCGCAGTGCAAATGGCACCGAGGAGATTGTGGTGAGTGGTGCTGCATAAGAGAAAGGATCAGGGGCGGGTGATGATTGATATGGCAGTGGGAGTATATTGTGAGGGGAAGGGACTGGCAGCATGACAGAATGCAGCTGTCAAGAGTAGCAAGCTGGTAACTTCCTGCAAGCCATTATTGTCTGGTCTCTTCTAGCGTAGTAAAGCGCGGCATAACTACACTCTGCAGTCTGTGAAGCACTCTAATTATCGTCATCAAAAGCATGTGCTGTGTGATGAGGTCCTGTGCTGTGTGATGAGGTCCTGTGCTGTGCACTCCTGGTTACATGCCATGCCATGTCATCTGCCACGCCACGCCACACCATGGCAGCGCATGGGCATGGCAGTGAGCGCCAACATGATGGAGTATGCATGCAATATCATGTCCTGTGCACTCCTGTGCCCTGTGCCCTACACCACGCCACACCACAACACACCACAACACACCACAACACACCACACCACACCACAACACACCACACCACACCACAACACACCACACCACACCACACCACACCACACCACACCACACCACACCACGCCACACCACGCCATGGCAGCGCATGGGCATGGCAGTGAGCGCCAGCATGATGGAGTATGCAACATTCGCAGGCGGCGCATACATCTTTGAACCCTCCAAACCAGCGGCGCCCATCACCACCAACGCCTCCTTCCAGGTCCGTGTGTCAGCCACACTCAAAAGTCCTTCCACCAACGCTGCCCACCAAGTCAGTGGGTGGGAGGGTGGATCACACAACCGCCAATCGTTCTGCAGTGGTGGCGACATGGCCTGGTGCCACACTGTACCATGATGGGACATTGTTCTCTCATCATACTGCACTGCTGGCACCATGGGCTGTGTACCATGATGCGACATGCCATGCTGCTCGCCATACTGCACTCGTACCCTCTGTGACTCCAGTGTGAAGTGTCTTTTGCTGGGTGGGGTGGGTGGAGTGAAGTCGCTTCACAGCACAGGCCTTTGATTGGTACGAGATTTCTGCTCTGCTTTACTTGCTGCTCTGCTGATGTGGCGCCAGGTTCCAGTTCGCATCCAGCGTGGACCAATCGTGGAGGAGTTCAGCCGCCAGGTCATTCCGTGGATCTCCGAGGTGAGCGCATTTCCTTCACTTCCTCCTCCTCCTCCTCCTCCTCCTCCTCCTCCTCCTCCTCCTCCTCCTCCTCCTCCTCCTCCTCCTCCTCCTCTTCCTCCTCCTCCTCCTCCTCCTCCTCCTCCTCCTCCTCCTCCTTCTCTTTGATTATGCAGGGCGCTTTTGAGAACAAGGAACTCGCAAAACGTTTACTTTTTGTTATGTTGTACTGCCTTTCGATTACCATGCCATGCCATACCCACTGCAACGTGCTTCTTCTGCCTCGCTGTTTCCCAGTGCCAAACCACCACTCTGCATCCTCCCGCTCCTTGTGTCTCTGCCGCTCTGCACCGCTCCGAACTCCCAGGTGTTCAGAGTGTATCCAGGGCAGGACTACGCCGAGCTGCACTATTCCGTGAGTGCTCTATGATTTCTGCACACTCTGCTTACTAAATCTTATGACTGGTATGATTTCGATTTTTTTCCATGAATTTCTTGCACGCTCTGGTTTCCAGAATTCGCATGAACCGAGTATTCAGTCTTCTCACAAGTCATTGCCCCAGCCAGGTGAATCCCCTGCCCCCTTGGGGTCGCAACCACAGGTGGTGTTTCGCCTCACTGCTTGTGGAGCAATCTCCGAAGCAATTGGAAAGGAATACGCTGTGTTTGTGCGTGCGTGTGTGTGTGATGCACAGGTGGGTCCGCTGCCATCCAAGCGTCCCAACCACGAGGTGGTGACTCGATTCGTTTCCCCCATCAACAGCAGCAAGACCTTTTACTCCGACTCCAATGGCCGCAGCTACCTCAAGCGGGTGAGAGGGTGTTTGTTGCGCTCGCATGGGTGTACACGGTCCTTGCTTGCATGAGTGTACACGGTCCGTGCTTGCTGGTGCCTGACAACTCGCTTCACTGCTCCCATCGACAGCAGCACGACCCTCTATTCTGACAGCAGCACGACCCTCTATTCTGACAGCAGCACGACCCTCTATTCTGACAGCAGCACGACCCTCTATTCTGACTCCAACAGCCAGAGCTACATCATGCGGATGAAAGTCACTTTCATGAGTTCTCAAAAGTGACTTCCAATAGCCTGCGCTGCAACAAGCGGGTGAGAGAGGTTGTAGATTTGAGTTCCTGACAGGCTACCGTTGACAGGAGGAGCTCTTTTAACGCAGTGGGGTGGGTGGTTGATCGCTTCCCTCCTCGTGACAACAGCAGCAACACTGGTCACCCTGATTCGTCAAGCGGGGTAGAGGGTGTTGCGTTCACTGCTCCCATCAACAGCAGCAAGACAATCGCCATTGCCAAGTGGCAAATGCTCCTACGGAAGGGCCCAAAATACTGCCTATATCAGCCCAGCATTCCACACACCATCCCCCATCCCACCATCCCACCATCCCCACCACCACCACCACCCGCGTTCAGGTGGTAAACTACTGCTTTGACTTTTGAGTCGAGTTCAAATTCATCCCATCATCCCCACCACCCCGCACGCATTCAGGTGCTGGACTGCCGGTCTGACTGGGACCTCAATGTCACCGACCCCATTCATACCCTCTCCCTTCACCGTGCTGTGTCCATTCACCACCCCCACCACACCACCCCGCCACCCCGCATTTAGGTGGTGGACTATCAGTCTGACTGGGATCTCAATGTCACCGACCCCATCGCAGGGAACTACTACCCGGTGAGTCAACGCAAGTCAACAGAGTCAATTGGAGTTAGGACAGTCAATTAGGCAGCAGAATGAGCCAGAGTCAACCAGAGTCAACTCAAGGCAAGAATCAGTGCACCTGGGAGTGGTCCTGTCTATTAATGACGCAATCGCATTGGCAAGCCAATAGGAACAAGAGTCTTCTCTTTTAGTTTCCCCTCTGAGCCGTCGGCCCATCGTGCACCCATCCTTTTGTTGATTTGCCTTCTTCCATCATCCCTTCCTCTCCACTCCACTCCAGCTTACGGTCGGGGCTTTCATAAAGGACAAAGAAGCCCAGTTGTCGGTGCTTGTGGACCGGGCGGCAGGCGCTGCCAGCCTGGCATCCGGACAGATAGAGGTCATGCTTCACAGGTGACGTCATGCTTCACAGGTGACGTCATGCTTCACAGGTGACGTCATGCTTCACAGGTGACGTCATGCTTCACAGGTGAGGTCATGCTTCACAGGTGAGGTCATACTACACATGTAAGGGTACTGTCTATATGGATTTTTTTTTCTTTAATTTCTCAAAAGGTCATGCTTCTTAGGTGGGGGCACTGTGGCACAGGTGAGGTTGTTTGAAAACAGAAAGATGGAAAGAAGCAATGATCCGATTAGAGAATCATCGGGGGGGGAAGGAGAATGTGGGGAGGTTGAGATTCTTTGGGAATTTATTGGGGGGGCAATAACATTCAAGGGTGAGCCAACATTATTGGGTCTCCAATAATCTCCCAACCCAACCTTGGGGGCCGAATAATTGGGCCAAGGTTGGAATCCCATCTAGGATAAACCCTGGTTTGTGCGTGCACCCAATGTTTGGGTGCCTAACACTACCCAAACCTTATAGCATTTACGCAGTATACAAATAGGGAGAGATTCTGACAGAGGTCGTTGTAGCACAGTGACGGTACTGTGTCACAGAGGGTGCATGCAGTGGCGCATTGGTGCATGCAGTGGCGCATTGGTGCATGCAGTGGCGCATTGGTGCATGCAGTGGCGCATTGGTGCATGGATGGATTTATGGAGAGAGTTGCATGTTGGTGTGGTGTCTCGGCTTGCTCACAGCTCGCTCCTACACAACGGCCAATTTTAACTTGATGTGCATAAAAATAAATAAACAAATTAATTAATTAATAAATTAAACCATGTTTCTCACACACTCTTCTATCTCATTCTGACCAACCTTGACATCCATCTTCCCCCATCTCCCCTCATCCCCCCACAAATTCCCCCATCCCCTCCCCTACCCACACGCCACCAGGAAGCTGAGTTCGCTGGACGGCAAGGGCGTGGGGGAACCGCTGCAGGAGAGAATCGCACTGGGCAACAGGACCCGCTCCCTCACTGTGAGTGCCTCATGTGTTTCGGTGACTTGTGAGTCGACTCAAATTCACGAGTCACCTCCTGTGAGTCGACTCAAGGGGGTGGGGGAACCACTACCAAAGAGCTTCACACCAAAAAACAAAACTCGCTGCCTCACCGTGAGTGCTTCTTTCAGTAATTTCGCTGTGAGTTTTCCTTGTAGTAATCTTTCAAGGGCCCTTCACTCATGTGCATCTGTGGCCCCACCCCTGCCATGTTTCCTTCCTTCCATTGAAGTCAGTCACAACCCTTCCTCCGAACCTCCACCCCTCCCTCCCTTCCATCTCCCAATGCTTCTGCCTGATACCCACTCCTCAACATCCCCCCCTCCTCCTCGCCCCCCTCACCCTCTTTCTCCGCCCAATACCATGTGCCACCAACCGTCTCCCCCCTGCCCTGCAGTTACCAGAATCTCGGTGCTTAGAATCAATCAAACTGCACACTGGGCGCCACCAAGGAAACATTTAAAGCGAGCACTCTCCACCTCTTGAACCCTCCAGCAACCATCGCTCCCTCCTCTGCCCTGCAGGTTGTGGGCTCACTACGCTTTGGGCTGCATCTTAACACAGGCTCTGACGAAAGAGCAGGGGAGCACGAAGGGGAGCAAGGGGAGGAGCTTGTGGGGTTGGGGCGGGGAAGCGAGTGGAGGAGGGAGCACGCACAGCGCCTTCTAACCCCTCTGCAGCTCGCCTTTGCGGTTGAAGTGAGCCCTGCGCATCCCTCTTTTCTATCATCTATCTCTTCCTCTCGTTCACTTTATACTTTTCAAAGCATGCCCCATACGCACAGCAGCTCCTAACCCCTCTGCAGCTTGCCTTTGCGGTTGAGGTGAGCACTGTTCATCCATCTCCCTATCATCTAACTCCTCCTCTCATTCGCATGTTTTCAATAGCATGTCACATCACATGCACACAGCGGCTCATCATAACCCCACTTCAGTTGGCCTTTGCCGCTGAAGTGAGCCCTTGCCATCTCTCACTCAATGACCTCTTTCCCACCGGCTTTCTGCCTTGCCTTAATGACTCCTGCCCTGTCAATGTGCTCCCTCGCGTGCTTTTCTCCTCCCCCCTACAATCTATCCTGCCCCCAATCCATCTTGCTCCACCTTCAACCTTCCATCTCAACGCATGCAGTCTCAGCAGTCCATCAAAGCAGCACAAGGCAGCTACAAGTGGCACTGCTCCTTCTCCCAACCATTATCCACGTCATCCAGCAGCCCTGACAATGCTCCGTCCTACTCGGTTCCTCCCAATGTTGCTGTAATCTCGATGCAGGTAACTGCCATCGTGCATGCAGGCAAGCACTGTGATGTGTTGTAAGAGGCGCCTCAACATCACTATGTATCATCCGTACTTTACACTGTTGAGACGCGTCAACATCCGTGCTGCACACATCAATCCTCCACTGTTTATTATGGCTTCACCTACCTTTCGCTAACGTTGATTTAGGCACTTCAGAAAATTCCTGTCCACTCCACTCCATCACTCCTCTGCCCTCCCTTCTTCAACCTCCCACACCACTTATAGTTGATCCTTCATCCATCATCACCCCCGTGTTCTCACCAACGACATACGTGGAGGAGCTTTGAGAACGCTGTGTTGTATGCTCCATCAGAATTCTGTGCTGTGCCATACTATACTGTGCTGTGCTGCAATGCTACTAGTTGCAGTAAGAGGTATTTCAAAACCAGTTGCTATTTTTGGACAACGATTGTGCTGAGGCTGGCCAATCTCTTTCATCCATCCATTCCCCCACTTTTTATAATTCATTTTATCTCACACTCGCTTGTGCCACTGTCACACGTGCAGGAGCTCTCACCAAGCAATATTGTCCTGAGATTAGCTCACCTGTATCAAGTGAGTCCCACACTCACTCCCTCTCACTCATTCTCTCCTCACTCACACCTCTTCCTCACCAACTCCTCGTCCACGCTCGCACTTCTCTCTCTCTCACACCCCTGCCTCTCTAGTGCCCTTCACACTCAATCACATCCCCCCCCAGTCGGCCTTCCATCCATCCTGCCCTGCCGTACTGCGCCGCTTCTAATAATCTCAACATCTCTCCGTCCACTCCTCCGCATTGCACTATGCCACTTGCACTCCACTCCTCACTAAGATAATACCTCTCTCAATTCCGGTAGGACCTCCCGGTTTCAGGAGACCGAGAGCCCCACCTCCTTCAGTGCCTTACGTGTGTCTGCCTCCCTGTCTCATCTGCCACCCTGCCCCATCTACACCTGCAGCCTGGGGAGCATGCTGCCTGGTCTCGTCCAGCTCAAGTGGACCTTCGAAGATTGTTTACAGCAAAACAGGTAGATAGTCTGGTCGCCCTACCTTTTCAACAGCTCTAACATGCTCTCGATTTAATCCCTAACAATCGCCTCTTTGTGACATGTAACTGGTTACCCTACCTACGTTCTCACTTGCTCTCAAACCCTCTCTCGCACACACCTCATCACACACTGCCTAGTGCTTCAGCCACAGCTGCGTGCATAAAAAATATTTTGTGAGTGAGCTGACCAGGAATCAAACACCAATCAATTTCAGAAACCGCTGGAATGATAGCCTAGAAATTAATCCTACTATCCAGCCTCAGACTGTGTAATTGCTTTCCATCCCTTACCAAGGTCACACCCATCTGATCCCCCCCATGTTACTTCCCTTACTGTCACATTCCCACCCACCCCAAGCAGATTCAAGAGGTGACAGAGCTGAGTCTGATGGCCAATCAGAAACGAGCAGACATGCGACAGCCTCTTTCCTGGCGAGTGGAGGGCGAGGA